AGAGACCAGATACTCCCTGTGAGGAACTGCAGCTTCCCCTGGTGATCAGAAACAGGCGGCAGGACGCTGCCCAGTGCATTGTTCGTTAAATTCTGTGGTTTTTATGTAAGCACAAACGTGTGTTTAATTCGCCTCAAGGGGTACCATCAAAATTCTCCAACAGTCGCCACAGTTCTGATCAGTAAGAGATGGAGAGTATGTTTACAGCTCATTAGAGAACCAAAATAGGCATCTTTCTTGCCATTCACTGCTAAAAGCTGGTGGTGTTCATTTCTCCTACATGGCTCTGTTTCGCTCTCCTCCTGCCACAGCGTGTACCTGACTGCAGGGAGCATTGCTGCTTTCCAGAGCAAACCTTGAGACAAGCAGCGCTGAACACGGCTGTGCATCAAAGCGTTCTCTTGTCTTCCTCTCACCAAATGGTCAAAGCACAACTTGTTAGGAATTAAGCTTATTTTCAGGTTCCTGGTCAATAGGTGATGGTAAATGATTGCGGTCTCGATTAATCTTTTCTCAGTGCGCTTCATTATGCATCTCCTGTCACAAGTTTTCTTGAGGAGCTGAGAGGGTATTCTACTAACAGTTCTCTTTCCAGTTTCTGTCTAAATTCAATAATTGAAGTTTTGGTTTTATCTAATATCCTCTATTTTCTCCCCAGATTTTTTTAAAAAAAAGTCTCTTAATCTTGGGTGGAAATCCAGCATTTATTGCCGTTATCCTCATGGAACATTATTTTGCTTTAATGTCCATTGTGGGACCTGGTGAATGCACAGCAATCTAATCTAATTTTCATACCGAGAAATCTGACAGCTCTTTTCCCCTCAATGTTAAAATGTGGCTGAACTAAGATAATGGTAACTGTATGGTACAATTGCTTCAGTAAAGAGTATTCATCAGTCAATCTGCGTTAAAAAAAATGTTGCCAAGGCTCTTTTCAAGCTGGGAAAATTACCATGCTTTAAAAATAACTTACACCCTCTGAAAAAGAGGAAAGAGGCATCTGGTCTTCTGAAAAGCACAGATGAAAGCAGACTTGAAAGAATGCAACAGGGACCATTAGCCAAATACATATTTAAGAGGAGATGAGTGAATGCTGGGGGGTAATTCCGTGGTCCTGTAATAGAACAGCTGAGGAAAAGATTAATCTCTATTGCTCCATTTTTTCTGTTAAATATTTATATTTCTTAGAGTTGAAATGGAAGGCGAAATGTGATCAGAGATCTGAAAGGCTGGAGATAATGGGTTTGGATGGCTTTTTTCTCAGGCTGTTGTTGCACCGTGGTCTAGATTGCAGTTCAAAGGCCTTTGTGAAGGCAGTGTGGAGCGTTGGCCCAGAGCCAGCTGATGGGTGCCCGCATTATTTAATATGCAATATGCACTAATTGTGCTCTCCTTGTCCTCTTCAGCAGGGAAGCCCGTATTTCAATGGACTTTGAGCTAGGCTGCTGCTCGGGCCCAAAGGTAGTAGCCAGAGGAAGCTGCACACCAGCTTCCTGCCCTGTCCCTCCTGATCACGGAGCGGTTTGGGTTGGAAGGGACCTTTAAACGTCCACGAGTCCAAACCCTGCCATGAGCAGGGACACCTTCACCAAGATGCCCATGGGTCTGACCAGCGAGGCTGAGCTCGTGTAGTCAGCAGGCCTTTACACAGTGTTGTGTGCTGGGAGGGTGCTGGTCTGCTTGCCCCATCAGCTGTTGTTCATCTGCGCTCCTTTGTGTGCACGGATTCAAACTGCTTGTCACACAACCTAACGTTGTCCCTTGTGTCCTCCCCATTAACCACCTTCTCTGCCTGCTTTTCCCCTCCCGGGTAACTGTGGAAAAGGTGTCTTGGCAGGGTCTGCCCAAAGGACGTGAACATATTCCGAGCTGCTTTGTGCTCTTTGTGTGTGAGGGGCGGATTCCCAGCCAGCTATGCAAGCCCCTTACTGTTCAGCCATCATGCTCTAACCTGTCTCCCACGTATTTCCTTACTGACTCTGATCGGGGTCTGTGGTGGGTGGTGACACAGAGCTGGGTGCTAGCAGGTCCAGGCAGACAGCAGATGGAATGATGCAGTGTGCTCAAAAGGGCACTGCAAAGGTTGGGGTGCTGGGGTGCCCATGGCCGATGATCTTGCAGCTGGGAGAGAGGCATCAGCCAAAAAAAGGGTCACAACGGGAGACACAGAGAGAAAGAACAGGAGAATGAATAGAGGCGGCTTTAAATTGCTCCTCCAGATTAGCAATGTGTCAAGGAAGTTTTTACTGCTGTTCTTCATGTCATACCGGTGCTGTGAATAAAAATCAGTCACTCTTTTTCAGAGCTTTTAGTCTGGCAACCTTCATGAGATCAAATGTACTTGAAACTCAGTTCTTCTTCATTGCTTCCCTGGGTGAGCAGATCCCTGGATGGTGGAAGGGTCCTGCTGTGGTCGGCGTGGGTACCCTGCGGTGAAGAGTGACCACAGTGCCTCCAGCAGTGTACAGAAACATCTCAGGTATCTACAATCCTAGGATTTGGGAAAGCTTAGGAAACAATTGTTTTTTACAAGAAGAGAGAGATGATTCCATGTTTTTTTGGATTCAGCTGATGGAAGCCTTTTGGTGTATTTCACTTTTGGTTTTATGTAAATTCTGCATTGCTTCACCATTTTGCTACTGCACAGCTGCTTGAAAGTAAGACTGAATATGGACAGCAAAGTGAAGCTAACCAGCCTCAATTCATTGTTCCCTCACCGCAGAAATTACAATCATTGAGCCAAAGTACAATGGAATTGCTTTAAACAGAAATAGCCCTGTAAAAACTCAATTGTTCCAGGTATTTCTACAAACTGATTTTGGACTTTGTGTCCCTATGATGCCAACTCAAGGAATAGCCCTCTGTTGTGCCAGTCTGACTGCCGAAGCAGCAGGTACTTGGTACCTGTAGGAGCTGTGCATGTGTGACATTTTACACTGTCTGCAGATTACTCTTTGCATTTAGAGATGTCTAAATGACGTGTGTGAAAGCCCATTTTGTGCTGCTTCATGTCTGTGCAGGCATGCTTAGGAGTTTGTTTTCCTAGCACAGATCACTCTGGGCAGTTGCAATGTGGTGCCTGTGTCATTGCATAGATAGCTGGGTTACAGTTACTGCTTTAGTGTTTGATCCTGGTTTTAAATAGTGATCTTCTATTTTTAAAAATTTTATTTTAATGCTTGCAACTTTGTGTCAATTGACCACCTGAAGGAAATACTTATACCCATTTTAGAAGTAATTTTGAACTACAGGTTTCTTTTATTTGCAGGTGCATGGAGCAAGACCTGCACTTCATTGCACAGTACCTGGAAAGGCTTTGACAGCTAGAATGACCTCCTGTTCAGCTGCTACTGAGCTGGAATCAGATACAAACCCCACCATTTCCCCAGAATTCATTGTTGACCTAAATGACAATGTGCAAGACTACAGGGTAAAATGAGCACAACGGGAAACATTTTGCACAACACAAGAGTCACCCCTGTGAGGGTGACCCCACGTGATTGCACCAGATTCTGACTCTTCAAAAATCAGTGGTTTGCAGCTTGAGAAGCTCCGAAGAGCAGAAGTATTGTCACCATTCGAGAGATCCCACAGACAGTGGCCTAACACGGAGGACAGCATGGATGTGGAAGATGTATTTAAAACCCAGGAGAATATTTCCTGCCCAAGGGATTTGTCAGAGAGCGGCGATGACCTCGCTCATTTTACCAGTGCGGTCAGTGTCGCAGCTGGGAGAGCCGTGCCGTGCTGCAGCAGACGGGAGCCGTCTTGCCCTGCCCCTGCCGGCTCTCGCCACACCGACAGCCGTGGCCTCAGCACGGAGGAGGCTGCATCTGCTCGGTCCCTGGCGGGTGTCCAGGCCTGCACTAAGGCTGGGCTCGGTTCACCTCCAGCCGTGAACACCCTGTGCTGTGAGTGGGACGACACTCCCACAGTGAATAACAGTTATTTTGTAACAAATGATTCTGAAAATTCTGCCGCTGTTTTGGAGATCTGTGCAGAGAAAATTCCAGGTGTAAGTGATGACTTTTCTGATGATGACCTAGAGTATTTTGAATGTTCAGATCTGCTGACAGAGCATGAAAATGAAATCTGGAAAAGGAAATTGCAATTTTTATCAGAAAGTGATGATGAAGATGACTTAAAACTGAGTAAGGATTGTGATGGGTGTGCTTACTTCCTCAGTGAAATGCCTTGTCGGCTCCGAGTGTCAGATAACAGTACGCCTATGGATACCACCATTGGCTTCTGTGGGCATCACTCAAAATTCAAAGGAGTAAATGTAAGGAGAGACCCCTCTATGTACAGTCACGCAGCTCTGCAGACAGAGATGACGCTCACCGTTGGGCACCACCGAGACAAAGGTACCGGTCTGAAAGACCAAGAACAGTCTAAAGCGCCTGGGGCACCCACAGCCCTTGAAAATGACCATCCCAGCACTGAAGAGGAAAATAATGGCAGTGGCCACTCAGCTGCAGGTTTCCCAGCTGACAAATCAAGGGACAAGGATAACGTCCGTGCCAAGGGGGACTCCTCTGCTGGTGCCACAGGTGCTGCTTCGACAAACCTGGCTTCAGAGGCGATGACAGAAAGCGAAGCGGACAGGGGCTCACTGGGTGAAAGCTCCTTGCTGCTAGAGGAGGGGGGAAGAAATTTTCCGGAGGAAAATGCAAGGCATGCTGTCTGTACCTTAACAGAAAGTCTAAGAAGAAACCTTTTAAAGCTGTTAAACCCCAAAGAGCTTTGCAGATACGTAAGTAACATTGGACAGTCTTTCCAGATGGCAGCAGAGGTGAGGGAGCCTGGTGCTCTGTTTCCTCGTCAGGAAGGTGTCCTTTCCCAGAGCTCCGAGGAGACGGAGGGCTTGGAAACGCAGGCTGGTGTGTGTCGCACAGGAGAGGCAGATAAAGACGGGGAAAGGAGAAGGACTTGGGGCCTCTCAGAGCAAAATCAGATGCCAGATGGAAACGTCTCACCCAGGGTAAGTAAAATGTTTCTCATTTAATAGAAAGAGCTGATCTGCTGATTTAAATGTGTTTTATTCCAGGTTGCCACAAAAAAATGTAAAATTTAAATTACTTTGAAAGATACTATTCATGTACTTCTGAATGACAGCTACGGCTGGGAAGGAAATCTGGTTTTGAAAAAGGCCCAAATAAACCATAAGCTGCTCTAATTATAGAGCGAGACTGATAACAGTGAGAGGCACTAATGGGGCTGTGGACAGCTGGATAGGGAAATCCGATCTGCAGGCTATTGCACAGGTCTTACCAAAGCAATGTTTCCTTCAGCCCAGAAAGTTTCTCAAATACCTATTGTGAGCAGAGAATGGTCTGATGTGCTTTCTTTTCAGTTTATACTCAAAGAACAACATTGTCACCCACTTACGGTGCTGGAAATCTGAAACAAACCAACAGGGGTTTGCTCTGAATTTGTAACAAGGAGGGGAGTTTAATCCAGAGAGTTCATGTTGCAGGGGTGAAGGGAGGTTTGTTTTTTGAAAAGAAAACAATGAGAGAGTCAGATATTCAAGTTGAAATGTAAAAAACAGTCAGAAACACCGAAGTGGTTCTTGCCGTGTACTTCCCTCTTTTATGCTGTTGGTAGGAAATCAGCTGGGGAAGTCAGTGGAGTTGTGCAGACCAATGTGATGCTCCACCAGTTTTCATAAGGCGGAGAATTGGATCGTACTTTCTATTTCACATAGGAAATACTCAAGATATGTGACTACATACGTATGAGTATTAAATGATGCATAATCTTATTATCACCGACTGTACTGATTTGCGGGTGCATAACTAATTGCATAGAAAAATACATTTATGACATATGACAAACCAACACAAGCTTTTTCCAGTTCCACGTGCTTTTCTTCAACTTTATTGTTTAGGCAAACGTGTTTCCCAGTTGTGGGTAGTAGACTGACTTTAATCTCACCACTGAGGTGTCTTACGCAGTCAGAAACCATTGAATTCTTCTGCCCGAAAAGCAGCCATAGGTTTCTCTGTTTTTAAGTACGTAAAATTCCAGTCATATTTTAGCAGCACATCATGTTTCCATGATGGGGAATACCCTCCTACTGAAATGAACCTGCTGCGAGTTTCCTGACGGTGAGTGATACCATGGCTTGCAGGAGGGATTGTTGGATTTTCCCCAAGCGCACTACAATGATTTAAATGGCAGCAGTGTCTTGGCACAGAGCAGCCGTGCCGTGACCGCGGGTGCCACGGCCGAGGTTCAGACCGGGCAGCCTGGCTCTGCTGCCTGCGGTCACTGTGTGGAGAAGGCGCCTTCGGTCCCTTGAAACACCACGGTTCTGATTTAACTTCCTCGTTTTCTGGCTCTCCAGCAGGAACAGACAGGATGTGCCTGTCTGTAAGCGTCTGCAGGATAAAATATAGCTCGTGTCTTTTGTTTCACCTGTCCAAAACAGTTGAAGTAACTACAGGTATTGAGTTATGTTAGCTAATCCAAGGCTGATGAGCCATTTAAAGCAGAGTGTTATTTTAGGAAAGAGGAATTTGAGTGGCATTGCATGAAACAGGGAAACAGAAAGAGCCACAAAGCTGCTGCAGGAGAACAGTGTGACCCAAAAGCAGTTCCAGCCACAGGGGTTTGAGGGAGCCATGGCCAGAGGCAGTGATATACCCACTGTCTGTATTCTGGGAGTGCTTTGTTACTGTCCATTTGCACAGAGAGAAATACATACCCTAGAGGGATACACATACCCTAGGAGCACATAGCCCTGTTAAATAGCAATTAAAAAATTAATAAATGTGCTGCCATGAGGCTTCGCAGTGCGTTCTGCTTTCAGACTTACTTTTGTCAAATGCAAGGTGAGGCACGCCATTACAAGCCCTCTTTTGTAATTGCATTTATTTTCCAGCCATCAAAACATGTGTCTACGCTCTGCAGTGCTGCATGCCTATAAACGCCCGAGACAGGCAGGTGCCAACAAGGACAGACACACAGATTAGATAGATGGATAAAAGGGCTCGTGAAATAATCAGCTCACTTTCCAGTAGCATGAGAGCACTATCTATTTTCAGCTTCATACCAACAGCAGGTAGGGACTGACATACGTCTGAGATACTTGGCAGGAATTCCACAGGTTTTAGTCAGAGCTGTGCTGGAGGCTGCGGGGCTGCAAGGAACAGAAGATGAACTCTGCGTTGCAGAGGTTTGGGGGGGCAGTGGCAGAAGGAGCACCAGACTCAGGAAGGCTCAGGACCGCCTGAAGAGAGCTGGGGCTGGACGCATCTGGGCTCACATCCTCTCGAGCCGAGAGCAGGCGTGAGTCTGAGCTCACACCCCGCACACCATGACAAGTTAACAAATAGCTATGGGTGAAACAGGGACCCACGAGGGAGAAAACCAACCCCAAACACTTGTGAAGTTGAGTTTGTGGTGGGATAAAAGCAAAAAAATGCAAAATGTCTGCAAATGTTGGTGCTTTTTAAACTCAGTCTGGTGGTTTTTAGTATTTCTTCATTTCTGCTGGGAGTAGGTGCAAAGCTTCAGACAGCCACTAGAAAGATACAGGGTCAAATATACAAACTAATTCATGAAGTCCATGTTGTTATTATATATCCTGTTGATACCTGAAAGTAAGTTTGTTTTTCAAAGGTTGACTGCTAAATTTCTCTCTACATTTACAGGTTGTTCTGGCAAGTGAACGGTAATCAAAAGCATAAAGCATGATTTGTTTAGGAAACAATGCATTTTTGTCTAGTGAAAAATGGTGGACTTCTCCATCTGTGATGTGCTGTGGGTGGCTTGTGTGCCACCTGCATGGGATCGATTCAGTGGAAGAGGAGCAGAGAAAATCCTGGGGAGCAGAAGCTTGGCAGGGACTCTGGAACAAGAATTTAGGGTGAAAACTCTGTTCTGAGGGCAATGGTGAACAGTTTGACAGATTTTGTACACCAGGCAAGCCCAAACATCAGCCAGTTCTCTCATAAGATCTGCACTCCTTGCATAAATTCAGTTCAGTTTGGCTTAGTTTAATTGTGGAATGGGTTGTTTCTGCATCAAGTGACAATTTGGAATAGGGAAGGACTAAGGAGATGCAGGAGGAATGTGGATTTGTATTTGCTGCCCCAGATTGCCAGCAGCGCCGCTGAAGTTGCAGTGGTGTCCCGTTGTGAGGGGAGGGCAGGACTGACCTTACAGCCAGCAATTCCTGCCCCTGGACAGAGGCGAGACCAGGAAACCCTGGATCCCTTTGGAAGCGTCATTTGCCACCTCAGGGGTCAGAAGTGACCAGAGACAGATTGCTTACTTAAAACTGGGCTTAACGCTGACCCAGAGATGTGCCTTTCTTGGTGGAAGTCTTGTTCTGAAGGACACAGCATGGCAAGACATGGGAGTGCTCTCTGAAACTTCTCAGGACTGAGACACATAAAGAAAGCGTTTTTGTGAAACTTCAGATAGCAGTGCCCGTGATGGAGGCAGAGGGGAAGGCAGGCTCCCAAAAAACTGCCTGGGTCGTTCAGGAACTGATCACTTTGGAGTATGTAATAGTTACATGAGTACAGTGGGACATTGCCACTGTTAGCAAAAGGCCTAGACATGACTGGTTTGGTTTGGTTTATTGACTTTATCTGTTAACCAGCTGGTCTATGTTAGTCATTGATCTTCATCTTGATTGCATTTTATATTCCTCAGCATTTGGATCTAGGTCTGAAACTCACCAGGGTTCAAGGCTGTTAAGAACTAGGAGTTTGATTTCCATTCATTAGGTGGATAGCTACAAGTCAGACACTTGAATGTTGACAAATAGTACAAAAAAAATAATGAAAAACGAGGTTTGTTTCAAGCCAGAACTCCAGTTTAGGCCCGTATCAAGCAGCAATTCTAATTTTTAATTAAATTTCTCTTTTTTTCTTCTTTGTAGAATCAAGGTGCTGATCTGAAAATCTCTACCCAGAATTGTGAGAGACCGTGCGTGGAGCCTGAAATAGAGAAGGAAGGCGTCTTCATGACTTGTGAGAGCGCAGGAACCGTCCATCCCGCTTCAGAAACGTGCTGTACTGAAAAGACACCGCAAGCAAAACCTGCAAGTTTACAGATGTGTTCTCAACACCACACTCCTTGCAATAAGAGAGAGAGTTGTCACCAACAAGTCTTGTGCGAGCAAGGGATCGACGTTACTGTTAATGACAAGTTGCAGAACCATGTTTCACCTTTTCCCTCACGGAATGCGGACTCTGTTCCTGATAAACACGACCGTTCATGCGCTGTTCTCTGGTCTGTGGAGCTCTGTGGTGAGCCAGGGCAGGGGCAGCAGGGGCGCAGCTGGGCCTGGCATGACAGCAGTGACTCCGCTGTTCTCCGCAGGCTGCCGTGTGGTGATCCCAAGGCAGTCCTGGAGTGTGGAGAGCCTGGGCGCACAGGAGGTGCTGATGTATCTGCAGTGCATGACGAGCTGTGGAAACAACTTCTTGGAGATGACTCAGACTGTCAAATCCCATCAGAAACTTGGGGCATCACAAGTTTAGAAATGAGGCCGACAGATGCCAGAGTCACAGAACTGCAGACCGTGCAGGAGCCCCATTCTGATCGTCCTGTGTCTGTCGATGTGGTAGAAGAGCAGGAACCCGTTGGGCAGCCAGCTGGTAGACAGGGAACAGAGAAAGAGGACTGCAGTGTTTCTGATCTCCCACTTAAGACAGATGAAGCGTGTAACAGTGCATCCATAGGAAACATTTGTCTTGCACAAGTGGTAGAAGCAGATGGTACATGTCTGGATTCTAGCACAGGAAATAAAACGGAAACACCATCCATTTGTGTTTCAGCAAACAGCATCGTCGTAAGTACAGGGGAGTGCTCGCAGCAGCTGCCAAATCCGACGTTAACTGACAGTCATGGGTCCATGCACATGGCTGTTGCCTGGGAAGGAAAGCTCACCATTAGTGATGCTTCCCAAACGTCTGATGCAGGTTCTCCTCAAGGATTAAAAAATGCTCGCAGTAGTAATTTAGCATGTGACGAAGAAAACCCAGCTTGCCTGTCAGATAAGTCACATGGACAATTAATTCATACTGAGCACAGGGTATCCGTGATAAACAAGTCTGTACCTGGCAGAGGGAGTCTCCTTAGAGACTGTTGTCCTGCGAGAGAAGGACTGGATTATTTCTCTGAGGAGAAAGGCAATTTCGTCAGTGAAAACAGCAGTCAGTTTACACTTGAAAATCACTCTGCTGTTCACACCGCATGCACAAGTTATGAAGAGAATGTACAAGAAAAAGGAAATCACTCAGTCTTGAGTGCACAAAATGACACTAAATCTGACAGTTCTCATCTTTCAAAAAATAATGACTGTCAAGATTTTAAAGTTGTTTCTGATGCTCAGAGATATGGTTATCTAATGCAATTGCCTAATTTAATGAAGATTCCTCAAGCCATAACTTGTCAGAATCTATCCCAAAATATAGACCAACTGACAGAAATAGAAAAACAAGAAGTGGCATTCACTCCCTCTTCTGAGGATCCATTTTTAAGAGATTTTTCTGTAGAAGTGCCCAGATATGAACCATGTAAAACAGGAGAAGAACAGAGAGAGATTGGTGGAGGTGAGGAGCAAGGGGCTGAAGCTTCCTGTGACTCGGGATCTGGCCGTGTTTCAGAGACTCAGGCTGCCGGTTCCCCTCATAACGCACCAGAACACCCTGCATTTTCTGCTGACAGCGCCTTCAGGTCTGATGAAGAGTCAAAACCAGATCCTGCCAAGAATGGCACGAATGCATCTGGAGGTGTAACGTGGGTTCGTGCCCCGCTGCCTGGACGGGCTCAGCGTGAGCACCATGACACAGCACATGGGGACTCGGGGGGCACTGGTAATCAGCCGCACACCCAGCCACTGGCTGCGGAGGAAGCACTGCCGCCCCTTGCAGCAGTAACCCGGTGTGAGGGCCCTGTCACCAGCTCTGCAGCAGCAACGGGCTGTCCTGTTGCAGGAAGTCGTGTGGAAACGGGATCCACCCCGGCTGTGGTCAGAGGAGATGAAAATGCGAGAACACTGGAGACTTTCTGCAAAGCCTTGCAGGATCCGCTCCACAGGGTGCCCAAAGGAAACAAGGAGGATGTGGTCTTGTGTGAAAACAGACAAGAGGTCCGAAGAGCTATTGAATACAGCCCAAATGAAGCTGAAATGAAGCCTCCTTTGCATGCTTTAATTCCCTCCAAGGCTCAGAGACAGTTTGTGGATGTTAGCACGAAGCAGTCCTGTCCTGACTTGATCTGCTCCAGCAAGCTAACGGAGGTTGGTAATTCAATTAAGTCAACCAAGTTTGACAAAGCTGAGGAGGTCATGGCATCGGACAGCGTGGTAAGTGGCTCGGTTAATGTGCCACCGGTTGATTCGGGCAGCAGCCGGTGTTTTAAGGAGCAGCCACCCTGCAGCAGAGCTCAGCCGCTTTCCCTAGCGCTGACCACACACGATCCATTCCCAGTCGGTGCGGAAAGGTTGAGAAGCCAAGGAGGGTCCAGATCCTCCCAGACGTCACGGCCTGTGACTGAGCCCGAGCCCATCAGGTGCAGACAAGACCCGACAAAGAGCGGGCATTTGGCTGCTGGAGCTAAGAAGAAATTGCCACCAGCAACACTGCCAAAAAAACCCCGACTGGAGGAGAAAGGGAATGTCGGCAAGGATCTCTGCGGCGTTAAACAGTGTGTGAAGAGTGAGGTGGGCACGGCTCATAAGGAAGAGAGAAAAGAGCAGAGGAAACTGATTTTGAAAAAGGATAGCAAAGGTAAGAGAAAACTGATTTTCATTTCTGTCCTTTCCCATTGTTCTGGTTGCCACGCGAAATTCACATTCGTTGAACACGCTGCAAGCCTCCCGTAGTCTGAACCACAGCAGCTGGAGGTGTCCTGCCCTCACCTGGTTTAATTCCTAGTTCTGTGAACTGGGTAACTGGTGCTGTGCCCATACCACAGAGCTGAGTCCTCCCTAACATCCTTTTCCTAGCCGGCAAATATATTACATGTATGAGCTTTTTAACCTGTTTGGAATAGTAACCTCTGCTGTACTACTCTCTGTTACTGGTAGGGTGCCACTGACAGTGTTTTGCAGTGCTATCTGATGACTGATTTTCACTGCTGTTGGTCACAAGTGACACTGCTGAAATCAGCCATATTAAACCAACATAGAAATGTGTAACTGAAATGAGATTCAGGTTGCTTGTTGGAGTCTCTAGGAGATTGCTAACAGGTAAAACAAAATACAGACAGGAGTAGGAGGAGCATAGCAGCCAGACAGATGAGGTGTTTGTGGTTTCTATGGATACTTTGAAAGGACCAAGGTCTTATTTTTACCTTTTGACACTACATCTCGTGTTCACATCACAAAATAATTCAATAGAGCAAGACTGAACAGTGACTGAAGGTAAGTGACAGTGGTAGAGCTCTTCAGAGACTCATTACAGTGTGTTCTGCTGAGACTTCTGCTTTTCCAGTCGCATCTTTAAAGCCCCAAACTTTTATCTGTTCGAAGATGTGTCCTTTGCCAGAGAACTGAGTGTGTGGGAGGAGAGACACATCCCTGCAGCACAGCAGAGCAGACAAACTGCAATTACTCAGAAATGCCTCATCCTTTTCCCCTGCACCTGAGGCCGTGCTTGAAAGATTTTTTTGAACATTCGGTCTTGAATCAGATAAGACTTATTTTTTTAACCTGCTTCCGATGTGCTCCAGCCTGGCCTGACATGAGCATATGTTTGTGCTTTGGAGAGTTGCGTGGAGCGTTGCCCAGTGTCACAGGAAGGTCGGTGTGGTCACTGGTGTATTCAGTGTTGGTTTTGTGTCTTGTCAGCTGCAGGAGGGATGGCTCTGTGGAGCTGTGGGGTCTGTTGGGAGTGCTGTCACACACCGTCTGCGTCACTTCAGCCCTGATTCAGCAAGATTCTTAGGCCTAAGGACTTAAGTGCCTGCAGTTAAACATAGCAGTGAATTCCAGGTGCCTAGCGCTTTGAGTTGGATCCAGTCCTTTGGCGTTAGATGGGGAAAGTTGGGCTGCTGGGATGGGATCCCTGAGGGAGCTGTGTCACAGCAGCTCCTTCAAGTGCAGCAGCTCAGAATTGACACAGTAGGAGACGTAACTTCTTGCATTTTACATCCTTCACATCTAGCAGAGGTGTCTCACTGGGGTGCGGGGATGTGTCATGATCCCAAATCCTTTCCCTGAGTACCTCTTGGCTCCCTTTCTCCATCCTCCCATGCATGCCGTGCCACATGCAGAAGGTGCTGGAGCGTCCCGGGAGCCAGGCCGCAGCTCTCAGCAGAGAACTGGCTCACCATGGCCTGCCCCGGCCAGGCCATGCTCCCTCTCTGCAGCCTGAGCATCCCTGGGTTTGCTCTGTGCATTGCTCCGAGTTTAGCAAAAGAGCTGAAGAGCTCAGAGCTGCTGTGGCTGCAGGGGCTTTCCCTGGGGAAATGAATCCTTTGAAACGGGGGGGAAGCAGCAGTCACTGCCAATACCAGATGTGAATATCTCACCACCAAGTGCAGGTTTGTCCCCCCAGCTGTGTTTCAAGCCATCGCTGCCTCTTGCAGAGTCTCACCCTGGCCCTGTGTGTCAGATGGGCTGAGACCACCTTGGAGACTGAGCATCTCCTGAGACTTGGTGTCTTTTCTCTCAGAGGCTGTGATCAGTTACAAAATCTGCTGGTTACAGGTACTTGGTTAATGTGAATTCTTACTACGTAACCGTATGGTATGTGCACCTTGTGGTATATTTTTATTGATAAAACCAGGTGGTGCTATAGTTACAGGGAATGTGTTTTGGTTAAGAAATTATTTTATGTCAATGCCTTTTCAGGCCAGAACTTGCCTTGGGTCCTGTTTCATAAATTCAGAATGTCTTTGCATTGGAAACATTTCCATTGACTGTGTGGGGCACCAAATCAGTCTTTTAAAACCCTTGTATTTTAAAGCCTTGGTTTCTGCATCAGAAGAAATAATAATTAATTACCAGTGTTGTTGAATTCATATTCTTAACAACTGCAAATCTTTCTGGGATTCCTTTAAAATGCCAAACAGTGTCATTATCTTCTAGTCCCAAACTGTGGCTCTTCTGTTCCAAGCTCCCAGGCTGCTGAAGAAAATCCAAGCAGAGTCGTTTCCCGACTGCTCAGGGAATGTCAAGCTTTGCTGTCAGTTTGGCGACATTCACGGCGACTCCACCATTACGTGGACGAAGGACTCCAAGTTACTGGCTCGGCTGCAGAGAAGGTGGGTGAGAGTTTCTGAGTGGCTTTTGGGAAAATATGGCCAGTGATTCTCTCCTGTGGCTGTTGGGAGGATTAGTATGAAGGTGCAAAGGGTGAGTTTAAAGAGGTGATTAAGAACCACATCTTCACGCGGTGCATTGGTACTGGTCATGGTTTGCAGTCCATCACCAGCAGTTCCTCTCAGCCTGTTCATAGCCAGGCTCCTCCACCTTTCAGGTACTGTGAAAGATGAATGAAGGTTGCACCTCAGACATGTGAAAACCCTGCTGGTGCAGGAGGAATTCTGCTCAGGCACTGCACCGTTTCGGTGTGCTGGTATTGCTGCCAGAGCCTGCATGGGTCTGCGGGTACCAAAATGGCCCTCGGGTGTCACTGCAGCCCCGGGCGCCTCTGCCCGCGATCAGGTGTGACCAGAGGGGAGCAGAGAACAGAGAGAGCTGGGTGAGGGTCCTGGTGAGGAGCAGCACACAGCGTTTTGGGCTTTCGTATGCTCATCCGTTATGAACTTGGCCGTGGTGTTGATGGGAATGTGAGAATGCCTTTTGGTGTGGTTTAATTGTTTGGATTTGATTGCAGTTCGAATGTGGTAGGGTCATTATTTTGAAACACAAAGTAGGCTGAATGCTTCTAAGTAGGGTGAAATAAAATATTTTGTCTACTTGCATCATTTTTGAATCGGTCTTTGCAGTGAGGGACAGAAATTCCAGGGACAGGAGGAGAGACTTATGGAGCTATCAGGAAAGATCTATTAAAAGTATTAATGTGGAAAATCAACATTTTGTGTTCCAGTGCCCAGGATAATTCTCCAGTCTCTTTGGCAATAGCTAAAGCCAGTAGCAAAGACCAGGGAATGTATTATTGCTGCTTGAATAATATCTATGGGAAGGTGACTGCTGAGTTTAATCTGACTTCTGAAGGTAAATCCCAGTTTATAAATTTAATTAATAATGGCAGTTTCCATTCCTATGTTTTTAACTGCAAAATCTGTTTCTTTGTTTCCTCGTAGTATTGGAACGTCTCTCAAGTTCTCAGAATTATGAGGGTAAGTACACACAGTCTGAATGTGTGCTCAGATCTTTGCTCCTTCCGATTTCCAAATAGAACAAAGAATGGAAAAACATATCCAGACAGAGCCATTTGGACAGTTACCCCTGGGAGGCTATGGCAGTCCCTTGAAGCCAATGAATCTGTGACGTTTTCACTAGCTGTCTTTCCCTTTTTGCACTCCCTGACGTTTGCTGTACCAGCAAAGAGAAAATTGGCTTTAATTCATGGGAGTTCTGTAGGTGCTGCTCCCTTGTGTAGGATGGAGCGGTTTGCGCAGAGCAATGGAGCACCTGCTTGGTACTTGGCTGAGGAGCTGCTCGTTTGCTTGTGCACGAGTGCTTCCCGTGCCATGAACAGAGCAGTGGCATCGCAGCGCGTTGTACGGACACACAGACACACACGGCACCGAAAGCTCCTTTGGCAGAGGAACCTGCCCGTGGTGGTTGAACACGCGGTCTTCACAGGTCACCTGCTCTGTAACTTCACTCCCAGAGAAAGACAGGCATGAGGATCTGGAATGCTTTCCCCATATGTTAGCTTGTGTTTAATCGCACTGGGCCTATGTCTTGCTGTGCTGCAGCTAAAGATAGACAGTGCATTGCAAATTGGGTTACCATTTCTGAACACGCTGTGCTAATTGAGTACTTCATTCGGCCAATTGATTTTTCTTTGTCTAGAAGAATAAAATTAAACATTTAGTTCCTTATTAAAGTGAAGACAGGACTTGTCATGTAACAGCACCATATAACTTTTGATGAACAGAGAATTTTAGGTGGTGTTAAGGAGCCTTCTAATTCTGGCTTTCTGTGTGCACTGTTTCCTCTGTGCTTCCAAGAGGCAATAATGTAGAGTCCTGACCAGAGAGGACTGCAGACGGAGCTGGAAGGACTTCCCTGCTGCGTGGTACACAGCTCTGTTCTCCTCTGTGTCTTTTCCACTGGTGTTCCTTGAAATGCTGTGATTGGAGAGCCTGAAGTGCAGTTAGAATTCTTTAGGTCCTCTCAGTGCTTAACCTTAACCACTTTTCCCCCTATATTTTTTCACTTTGTGTTCAAGGCCATGCATTCTGTTTCCATTGAGCTTTCTCTTTATTGCTCTGTGGACAGATGCATTCGTTCTCCCATGCCCACCCCTTTCCATGTAATCGCAGAATGATTTTGTGCTGGCATTGTGTTTTAGGTGTGGAAGAAATCGAATTCATGCAGCTCATGTTCAGAGAAGATTTCATCAGTGACAGCTACTTTGGAGGGAACCTGCATGGAGTAATAGCCACGGAGGAGCTGCACTTCGGGGAAGGCATGCACCGCAAAGCCTTCCGCAGCAAAGTGATGCACGGCCTCGTGCCGGTGTTCGGGCCTGGGCACCCCTGCGTTGTCAAAGTGCACAACGCCATCACCTACGGGACCAAGAGCAAGGACGACCTCGTGCAGAAGAACTACAGACTGGCTCTGCAGGTCAGCTTCCCCACCTTGTGTAGGCACGGGCTGTCCTGCAAGTCTTCAAACAGGTGATCTGCTCAATGTTTTGAGTGATGTTCCACAGCTGTATCTTGTTTGTAATGTAGGAATGCTATGTCCAAAATACTGCAAGAGAGTACGCAAAGATATATGCAGCTGAAGCCGAACCCTTGGAAGGCTTTGGGGAAGTACCGGAGTGAGTATATATATATATTTTTATATCCATATACACAGATGCACATATATATATGTATATGTATTTATTATCCTGTGCCACAGCTGCCCACTGACTGCTAGGAGTAGTTACTAAAGGTGAAAAGAGGAATCCTGAGGACAGCGTTACAGCTGGAGTCATGACCTGCGTAATACTGAGTATCAGGGTGGTGAGAGAGCATCCATTCCCATTAGAGAGGTATAATAAAGAGTGAAGACAGTAAATAGCAGGCAAAAGGCATGTTTTTAATATCGATTTAGAGGAAGCTATTTGTTAGTGAAGTAACGCCAGTAGGTGGTGGTACTGCTACTACTACTGACTGATAGTAACAGCAGCAGGGGACAAGTCAGGCCTTGCAACTTCCCATTAAAGTGGAATCTTGAGAGAAATCATGATTGTTCTGCAGTCGCTCCTTTGGCAAGTTTTCTATGTAAAGAGGGGCTTAAGGCAGAAAACTTGACTCTTGATTCTGGGTTTTCCCAAAGACCGGCTTATTTCATACAGAAGTTTTCCATTTCCCAAATATGTGTGCATCAGACCGGTAGCTCAGTGCAGGCTAACTCTGCCTCTGAGGCTGCGAAGTGGCACTTGGAGGATTTGGTAACAGATCTTTTTAAAAGGATTTGCTGTTCCAGTGTCAGGCTACCGTGCAGAGTTGAATTTGCAGTGGATGGTTGAAATTCCATCTGCCTTGCTCCAGGGATAAGACCTGCACCGTGACAGCAGGCTGGATCTGCGTCAGAGGACACAAGAGCTGCTCAGCTGCACCGACTCCCTGAAAAAAAGGACCATTTAAACCACAGCCTCGGGAATGATTCCTTAAAGCAGCCTTTTAGTGATGGAGATGGCAGTGAAACCTTTTAGGGAAAATATTTTGCAAGTCAGCTTCTTTTCTGGAAATATATTGCTCTTGGTAAAATTTGTGTTAGAGAGATTTCTGTAGGCACTGGATATAACCTCTGCATTTGATAGGAGAGGGAGACTGCGTACCCTATGAAAACCAGAAGTCTGGTGCAAACAACAGACACCTGCAAGGTTCAGGTCTGGTGCTTTATTGAAAGCAACTGGCTGGAAGACAGCAGAAAGGAGCAAAAGGAGATGATGTGCATATGCTTTTGGTTTACTTTTTAATTTCAGAGTTTTAAGGCCAGATTCCTTCTAGCCAGCCCTTGTCAGACCAAACTTGTATTTAAAAGAAGGTTTATTCCTTGCAACATTTTATGAGAAACAGAGCAACAGAAAAGTCATCCATGTTCTCCAGAGTGAGCTTTAGAGCTCTAGCCGTGCCCTGTCTGTGCTCGACTGTCGGAGGGGGGAAACAGAAACCCTGCACTGCCCTGGGACAAAGCCCAAGTGGATCAACTTGGAGGTGCTTAACACCTCAGAAAGCCTGCATCATGGTCAGACTGAGCCGCTGAAGCGGTGATACTCCAAAATTAGCAAGCACCCTTTATTGTGCAGGGTTTAGGTTTTGGGATGTAGTAGGACAGCATTAGAAAGTATGCATTGAAAAGTTTACATCTGAGTGATTGATACAAAGAAGCAGGCACACAGAGGATAATGTGATTATGTTCTAGAGCTCATAAGATAGTGTGATTATATTCTAGACCTACCTAGAAGATCTGAATCTTACCCACATGTCTCCTGGCTTGGTTTGGACTCAATAGCTGTTCACTCGCTCTCGGATCACCAGCCACTTTGTCTGTTTCTTACTCCTCCATCGACAGAACTCTGGATTTAATTCGTTTTTATGCCTTGATTTCAGAATCATTCCTATTTTTCTGGTCCATCGCCCTGCTAATAACATCCCCTATGCGACGGTGGAGGAGGAGCTGGTTGGGGAGTTTGTGAAATACTCTGTCAGGGATGGCAAGGAGGTGAATTTCCTGCGACGAGACTCGGAGGCTGGCCAGAAGTGCTGCACCTTCCAGCACTGGGTGTATGAGAAGACCAATGGGAGTTTGCTTGTCACTGATCTGCAAGGTGAGTTGTCTGCGTGGGGGCGATGAGACGGCTTCCCCATGCTGCAGGTGGTGACCACGCGCGGTCATGAGGCCAATTTCTGAGCGGTTCTTGGCTTTCTGTGTCCCCTGGTAAAGCTGCTGAGCTTGTGCTTTCCATAACCTGGTAATGGGCAGAGTCCTCTCCAGACGCGGGCAGTGCCCTGGCCCTGTGCCTGGTTTATACAGAACAAAAGGCAGGAGAGGGAGTTGGGACATTTTATTTTCTAGCCTCTTTTAAGTGCACTGTGTTTATCTGTGTGCGTGTTACCCTTGGGAACAGAAAGACATTAACTGATTGCCTACTGCAGCAGTAGGGGCAAACACATCAATCTGTGCAGTATTATGATGTTTATCTAATCAGCAGAGAAAGGGAATTTTTACCTAGCGTATGTTCTTGTGAGAAGACAGTTTGAGAAAGGAAAAACAAATCCTACACTCTTAACAGGAGAGTTCTCCCACGTGCCCCTTAGTAAATCAGGACACTCAATATGAGCCCGGTGTGGCTTGTTGTCTCACCTCCCAGAGGTTAATGAAATGTCATTATTGACTTCAGTTGCTGATAACGTCCCAGTCCTTTGCTTTTTCTTGTATTTAAATACTTGCAGACAGTCTGAACAGTGGAGTGCTCCACATTCGGGTCCTGGCCAGGTTTGAGGAAATAGGTCCCATCAAAAAAAGAAGAATGGTGCAGGGATGCCTTTGTCACCTGTACCGAATGCTGCCCTGTGCTCCTCTGGATGTAATCAAGTGCTGGGCCTGTACCCTGCACAGCGAGCACAGACGTATTTGAAACAAAGGCAGACCCGTGTTAAAGAAAAGCAAAGGAAGGTGGAATCTTACAAAATATCCTGTATTTTTAACAAGGCAGGAAAATTAGCAACGGGACGTCTAACCAAGACCCTTGCATTAATTTAAAGAACAAAAGGACAAAATCCTAGCCTGAGGGCAGCGCAGCGCAGAAGTGGTACCTGAGCCTCTGTAATGATGCTGCCACAAGGGAGAATACCGGCTGTGCTGGAGAGAAACATCTTCCTCTCTCATCATCTCGTTTGAGCATCTAGGCTGCATTTTTTAGCCACACCAGTTGAGCTTTCTGAGGGCATTCTCCGAGGAAAATGGTCTTGAGACCATCGTTTCCCTGTACTGAAAAAGTGGTGCACTACAGGACTGGATTTTGCCTATAAACAAGTCAATGAAGGGACGGGTTAAAAACCTCAAGGTTTTTGAACTACTGAATAAGAAAGGGATTTTGGTTCTGTCACCCAACACTGATAAACGTTGTGGTCTAAGTTTGCAAAGCATCAAAACCACACAACTCATATATAAATATACACACCTCAAGGTGGGTGCATAACCAAAGATTTTGTATGTCTCTTAAAATGCAGTCTTTAAAGTGCAGCCCCTCCTTCCCACCACTGACCGTGCACAGGAAAGCAGCGATGCTCTGTTTGTCACCTTGCTATCTGTAAGCTGCTGGTGTGAGACTGACTTGTAGGCACTGCTAGCGATACAGAGCACAAACGTCCTATTTCTCATCCGGGTACTTTAAAATGTTTTGAAAACGTGGTGAGAAATGATTAAAATTAAAACCATGAATCAATAAATAATATGTAATGCCTCTATGTATGGAACTCCTGAGCCTGAAGATATTCCTAGAAATTCCAGTGTAACGCAAGCTCTGTTTCCTTGGTGCCCTGCAGGTGTCGGAATGAAGTTAACTGACGTTGGCATAGCAACGCTGGCCAAAGGGTGAGTGAGAAATCATTTCCTCACAGCATGGTTTTGCTTTACACATCGATCCCTTCAAAGAGTAGATGTGTTGGGGGGGTGCACTGGAAAATGATTCTTGCTGTAACTGTGGAAGAAAACAATCCTCATCTGACTTGTAACTTATTTTGTTCATATATATGGAAACCCACCTATAAGAGAAACACATTTATTTTGTTCTGAAGGGATGAGGCTCCGCTGTAGACTGGGCTTTGCTTTTCCTTCGTGCCTCCCTTAAAATAGGCTTATGCAAAGGGCATTTCAAGAGGGAAACCGAAGGAAGCAGCCACTGCCCCAGCTGGAGGAGGGCAGGGCTGAGCACGCAGGGGCAGCGCTGGCTGCAGCCAGGGGCGCAGGGCAGGGCCTGGGGTTTGGGCTGTCCGGGGCTGCTGGCCATGGAGGAAACGCCTCAAACCCTGCTGCTGCTGGGGCCAGCAGTGCAGGCAGGCACCCCATCAGCTGGCTGCTGGGAAGGGGAAGGGGAAGCAGGGTAAATACCTGTGGCCAGTGCTTTAAATTCATATTCTCCTTTGAGAATCTGACAGGAAGAAGATCCCATCACATGTACTCAGTCTTTTACTAAACTGAACCTGATTTTTTAATGTAATTGCCTATAGAAATTCCCATAGTTTCCTCAACCCCTCTCTGCAGAGGCAGTGACCTCCTTGGTCACAGGCAGGTCCTGGCTCCAGTGCTTCTCAGCCTGGGCCAATCCCATCAATGTAAACCAAAAATATCCTCGGGGAATGCTTCTGTGGCCCTTGATGAATGGAAAAACATGTGTGTTGTTCCTGGCTGGAGTGTAAATTAAATACAGTTCTAATTTCACTCCAAGATTAAACCTGTGACCAGGGAAAAAAAATGGGAAAAATCCATCTCGCCACCCCAGCCGTGCTCATGGTGTAATGAAGCTGTCAAATAATCTAATGTGGTAGTACAAACTGTTAGTGATGAATTTGCAAAAGCCAATATGGCAACATTCATGAATTATTCATGGACGTTATTTAGCCCTCAGTGTTTCTTGAGCATAACAGACAACAGACACCAAAATTTTGTACCTATATTCAGCATTGTTCATTGCTCTTATTGATTTTTTGGGGTGTCTAGACTCACATTCCAAGTCTGAACAAACATTCTGGATGAGCATGTATGTGTCCCACGTCTCCATCCTTCCCCTCCTTGCGTAGAGGCTGTAGAGAGAGCGATGTTTTCAACAATTACACTTGATTGCAGTAACTCTGCTCTTTTATCCTGTCCGTGTCTGTGTCACCAGCGCACTGGAGCCCAAAGGAGCCCAAAGCAAAGGGTGCTGTACTTGGGGTGCTGGAGTAGCTGCACTGCACTTTCTGTCAGCAGAGGGCAAAGCCCAGCTAGAAACTGAAAATCCCTGAAGTATTTTTAATGCAGCCACTGGGGCGCACCAGAGCCAGGCAGTCAGTCCTGCGAATGAGTGGTTTAGTGGTTTCTTTGGTGAACGTCAGCAAAAATAATACGAGGCAGTGATGGGCTCCTCGGTGCAGCCCATGAGCCCACGCAGAGGCTGTGCACAAGTGCCCAGGTGTTTGTCCCAGAGCAGAAACAAAGAGGTGGAGGAATCGGAACAGGGACCCGTGGCCGTGGTGATGAACAGGAGATGGAGCTGAACGTCTGCCTGGCCTCGTTGCATTGACAAACCCAGTTTTGCTCCTCATGGCAACAGGAGGCACTGGGGCTTACCCCTGGAGGCAAATCCCATATCCCCGTTGAAATTTAAGGAATATTTGGTTTGAGCCACCCTTAACTGTCAAGTCTGGGAGGTGCAGTTCTGTCTGGGCTTTGTTCATCAGTCATCTCGTCGGTGCATTCAGAGTGCCTGCTGTGCTACATAACCGACTGGTATTTCTCAAGGCTTGGGATGGTCGATAGTTCGAGATTATTAAGCACAAAACACGTGTGCCATAAGGACTGCACCATCTCGAAGCCGTTCACTGGTGGAGACCTTCCCCTGTTACACCATGGGCTGCAGCCGCACAGAGGGGTCTGGGCTGTGCCCACAGGTCCTGCCAGATCCCAGCAGAGCCGTGGGCGCCAGGTCTGTGCAGAGCAAACGGCGCCGTCTGCCAGCGCACGGAGGCTCAGTGGGAGCAGTGAGTAACAAACTGCGCACAGCTGGAGCAGCAGCTGCAGGGCTTGGGTCTCATCTGCACATCAGCTTTCCTGTGGTCCACTACAGGACCGGGGGCTGTCTGTACACTGCAGAGCCACAGCGCCCTCATGTCACGCCTCTCGACTTCCAAAATGGACAAGGAGCGTTACCTGGGCCACATCTGTGGGCTCAAGATTGAATGCAAACCTCTTGTTTTAAGAGAAGGGAAATGATGGTGGATTGATTGAGGAGCAAAGCTAGTAAAAGAAAAATAATCACATGTTAATACTACTGTTAGATGTGTTATTTATCCAAGGGAGCGAGAGAACTGTTTATTCTCTTGCTGAACTTCGGGGTATGGTCCTGGGGGAACAGTGTCACTCCTCCTAAACCCTGCGGTAAGCAAGCACATAACTGCCTTGAGAGAGAGGAAGTAAAATTGGTAACCCCTTGAGGTTCCTGTGGCTGTTCACAGCAGCTGGCAGGGTGGTTTCTCTAGAGCAGAGCAGGCTTACCCCCGCTTTAACCTGGGGGTAACCGGATCTGGTACGAACATTCACCTGACAGATAATAGGAAAATACATCGGGAGCTTTATTTCATCAGATGACATTAACATTCAAAAACTCTCACTTCAAGGAAGAATCTGAAAATAAAATATTGGTACGAGAAGACAAAAAGGACTCCTAAATACTTACAGTGAGGAAGTTGAACTCCCACATAGTTTTTCTTGTTGAAGTTAAGTGCCAGCAGTAATTTAATCCTTAGATGATGTAGGTGTGCCGTTGTCTGTGAAGTCTTCATCACCCTGGCTGCAGCAGCTTGTCTGAAGTCATTTGGGATCCATCTTCCATGGACAGGCAGTTGTGACAGTGTTTAAAAGCAGCAGCAAAATGTATAGATGAGCTTTTTTGGCTATAGGGGGGCCTGCCAGTATGCATTACCATTTTGGTACGTGCCCAGACAAGCAATAAATATCACCTTTAGATTTCCTAGAGAAACTTTCAGATTTGCATTATCCACCAGAGATTTCTTTTCTCCTAGAGTGGAAGAGACTTTCTTAATGTTTTCCGGGTGCTTATGAGTCAGCAGCCGTGCTCTGCCTCCCTGTGCTGAAAATTAATCTTGAAATCCCATTTGGCTTTCTTTCTTTCTCTGTTGCTACAGATACAAAGGTTTTAAAGGCAACTGCTCGATTTCCTTCATTGAGCAGTTCAGAGCCCTCCACCAGTGCAATAAGTACTGTGAGATGCTGGGGCTGAGATCTCTCCGAACCACTCATCAGAAACAGAGGAAAGCAATACCCATGAGAAGCAAAAGCCTCCCAAACTCTTCAGCTATAAAGAAAGCAGTGCCCAAGAAAGCAAGAGAACCCAAAGACTTCATTTCTTCAGAGCACTGAGCTGCACTGCCTCGTCTTGTGCCGGCTCCTCTGGAGGATGCGTGGTGGCAATGGGCACCCGTGACCTGGCGGAGGAAGTACCTTGGTCTTTTGCCTTGGGACGTGGTTTTGAAGTCGCCCCTGTGCTGATGCCAGCAGCAAAGGAAGGAGCCGATTCCGTGGTCTCGGTACCTGAGGCTTAACGCCGGGGTGAGGTTTTAAGACAAACCAAGGCACCTGCCTGGATCACCTCGCGCCCCTTCTCTGCATCGGCATCTGCATGTTCGGAGTCACGGACGCTGCGTGCAGCACTGCAGAGCACCTTTCCTTCTGTGTGTCTGTGCCTGTGACCCTGTGGGTTCAGCTGCTGTGTAAACATCAATAGAGTTGAGATGCCACTTAGTAAAACGTTTGCACAGTCTTGCTCAGGCTGCTATAGAAAAATTGTTTTGTTTCCCAGATTTTTGCATATTGTAATCCTACTATAATTGTATTCTTGTATTTTTTTCTCCCACTTACGTGTCTTTTAATACAAGACAAAGCCATTTGTGACTGGACGTACCTGTCTTCTGCCCCCACAGAATGCGCTAGCATCTTCGAGGTCCTCACAAAGTGACGTCATCAGTGTAAAGATGGGCAATTTGTGTGATTCTCCATAGAATTCCTCGTTTTCTGTGCAAGCTGCTTGAACCTGCAGTGCCCCATGGCACGGCACTGTGTGCTTGCACCGATCCTGTTGTAGGATAGGGGTTTGGAGCCTGCACGTGGCCAAACAGCCCCCATCTGAAATAAACCACTGCACATGGAGGGTATTTCAGCACCTTCCTGCATTTTTAGCCAGAATAAGTATGACTTTCCTGTGCAGCGCAGAGTTGTTTTCTGAAGGAAGGAGACGGGTGCCCTGGGCCAGTACCTGTGTGCTAGAGAGGCGAGATTTATCCAAAATGCCCAGGCATGGCCGGAACTGGAAAGGTTACTGCGCTCCATTAAACTTAAGTGTAGCTTGTGTGGAGATCTGCAGCCAGAGGAGGGAACCACGTGTGTCAAGGAGTTTAGTGGAGGTGGCGGTTGGAAACCCAACCTGCGGTGCCTGACGCAGCACACATACACTGGACAGCATCAGACAGCTTATCCCTGCGTGACAACGACATAACTAGTGGAGCCAGAAGCCAGTGTAAGGGTCCCATCAGTGCTGAGGAAGATGAAAGCGATTTCAGACTGGTTGTTCTTGTACTGATAAGCAGTGGGTGCCAAACAGAGAGAAGCTGCTGGGCACTAGCTGACAGCAGGGACAGGAGCTGACCGCGATGTCACCGTAACATCTGGGCTTGCCATCTCGGGCTGCTTCTGCAGTTTAGCGGACGTCATCTGAAAAACAAACATCTGAAATAGGTGAGATTAATGCTGCCAAAAAGGTGCCTGTGTCTCTCCACTGAGGGACAAGGAAGCAGTGTCAGAGAGACACCTGTGTTTTGAATTCCCGCTGCTACAGGGGGTGAAGTTCTGCAGAGCTGTTTTATAGCATCTGGGTTTTTAATAGTTTTCTGCTAACTTAGGGGGAGGAAAGCAACTACAAACCAGTATTGCAGAAATTAGGATGGTATTGTAGTCCTTGTAAAATTAAATGCATGGAAGACTATTTGAAAGATGAGTTTTTAAATAGAGCCAAAGAAAGGTGTCTGACTGTCACGTAGGGGCTGAAAAGTGGTTCTCTAGCTTTCTAAGGCAGACAACTTCTGGTCATTCAAGAAACACCATGTAGCATCTCTGGAAAGGAAATTTGCTCCCTTTTCCTCTAAGACAGGTACTGGGCCACCAGGGCTGGTTCTGGGCACACCAGGTACTGGCCCACCAGGGCTTCCCAGGCTGCCAGGTCTCAGGATTTGAGTCAGTGCTGGCCCAGGCTGTGGTGATGGATCCCTGCAGCTGTGATCCCCAGGGCTGTGCCCAGCCTTACAAACTGCTTGCCCCCAGGTCTCCAGAGGTGCAGCTTCAGAAGGCAGCTGAGGTGTCCTGAGTGCTGTGCCTTGGATGTTGATCCCGTTCAAGGAGCTGTAGGAGGACCCTGTTAGAAGACAGCAGTGTGTGTCCCTTGTACCACAGCTGTGTGCAGTTCTTACTGGAGGAACTTTTCAGTGTAATTCCTGCAGCTCGATGTCACATAACCCAACAGTGAACTGCAGGGATGCAGCTCCATTATGCCTTAATTTCTACTTTTTTCCTCTTCAAGAGACTTCAGCATATCTAATACTTGTGTGGGTGTTTTAAAGGTCATGTTGCTCTACAATGAAAGCTCAGTAAATAGCTTTTCTTTTTGAGGTTTAAGAGCACAGTAGTGAGAAAGTAATAGGGGGAGAGAATTAATCTGCACGGCTGTTGTGCCGCAGAGCACCAGGGGAAGGCTGGGAACTGTTTGCCTCTGTGGATGTTTGACTGTTTTAAATGGGTTTCCTGTAATAACATTGCAGGAGGAAGCTGGGGAGCCTGCGATGCCGTTGCACCACAGGAGCACCAGCAGTGGTGACTCACCTGTGCACCTCTAAACGAATGAATGACGTGGAATAAGCTGTGATGGCATTGCAAATCCTAGAGCTGGTCCGAATCTCCAGCTCGCTCTGTTGATGATGTGGATGTTGTGCTCAGGCAAGCAGCACGTGAGGCTCACTGACAGGGAGGAGAGAAACAGCAATCCGTGTTCTTCAGATAGGAGAATCACAGTGCAATGATCAGAAGCCAAGCAAGACTGGCGCAGGCTCCCTAGAAAGCACTGGGGCGTGGGGAGGAAGGGAAGCGACTTCACTTCTCTCTCAGTCAAAGGCTGGGAAGAAAAGTGGCCGCTGCAAAAGCTCTACACGTTGGGCCATGCCCACAAGGCCACTTCTGCTTTGCTCCCCCAGAGCCAGAGCAGAGAAAGGAGCTCCAGCCCCAGCCCACCTGCACAAGGGTCCCCTCGGCTGGGAGCTCGTTCTCATCAGACCTTGTGAAAAACAAGCCA